CCCTGATTTAGAGTGACCAATCAAGCTAATCGCCTGATCAGCATGTTTATGGGCTGTGGGAGGAAAACCCACGCACACGAAAGACTGAACCAGCGAACCCTTCATCTTCTCTCTGTAAAGCATTTTACCAACTTGCCACCACGCGGTAATATATGAGTAATCAACCCTCTTTGACGCTCTCCTGAAAGAGTCCGTGGTTCTTGTAGTTTTCTATTGGCTTTGTACATTTTCACTGCAGTACGGACAGATATATTTCACAATGAGTTTTATTTTTTATGATATTTAAAAATTGAGTAATGTTTTGCAATTTTAGGCTAAATCTATTTTTATTTTGAATTTTTAATGATTTAATAATTAATTTTAATTATTTAATTTATTTAAACGTAAAAAATATTTTTTATCTAAACCTGCACATCTCAACTTTGAATAGAGAACACACACAACATAAATATAAATCATGTGAATTCTAAGCCTGCAGCTCAGGTTCAGCAAAGCTAATGTTGATGATCCCACCTTAACATGCTCTGCAGCCTCTGTAGACAGTCTGAAGCCAGAGGCTCTCTGCGGCGTGATTCTAGAAATTTCCGTGCATGCCTCAGAAGAGTTTGGCTGGTTGGAAACAGGCCACAGCAGAGCCACAGCAGCTGCCAGCCCTGCTCCAGGCTGAACCTGCGTGACACATCGACGTCGGGCAAAAACACACAAGAAGGCTCACAATGATATTTTTGATTTGATCAGCTACAATTAACACAATTTAAAGGTCAAATGTCAAAATATTATGTGCTGGAAATAAGTTTTTTTTTGCAGCAATCAGTAATGTTTACCCACATCTAACAACATGTATTTTCTTTATAGATAATAGTGAAATTTACAACCCGAGGAACGTACCTGTTGTTATTGTTGGTCATTTGCTTCATAATCTGGCAATAGATTTCATCCCGCAGGGCTTCGCTTTGAGTGGCCTGGCCGAAAATCTGGTCGGTGAGTTCCAGTGAACTGTGGATCTGCTTGGTGGGATAATCGCCCATGTATTTCAGGATAGGTGGACAAAAGTCAAGGAAGTACAGCGGAAATGGAATTTCCCAAACTGGACTTGGGGCACATGTTGTGGTTAGATAATCTGAGTTTTAGAAGTTGGTCTGTTGGTAAGCTGTAAATTACATTTACTCCAGTTACTGTAA